GAAGGAAGGAAGCAAGGAAAGAAGCAAGGAAAGAAGCAAGGAAGGAAGCAAGGAGGAAATTAACCCACTGAGTTAAATCCATTTTTCTTTTACAAATCAGTTTTACAAATAAACTCTAATAACAATAATCTGTGTATAGGACATTTATTGTAGACTCAGGTTAATACCTGGCGTATGAGTGGAAAAAGCCAGGAACTGAGTGCGACAGGAACTGGAGCAAACCTAGAGCAGACCTGAAGACCAGAGCTAGGAGGGGTTGGATGATGTTAGCTTGAGAGCTAGAAGCAGGATTGTTCAGTGTTTCCATCAGATTCCTTGCCATTCATACATTAAAATAGCTCAACTACATCTCATGCCACCTCCTGAGAGCTTCCTTGTAGTCCATTTGAATTACTGAGAGGCTTTATTTGATGCAGATAATCTGTTCTTACCAGGACATAGGTTCTCATGGCTATGGATTATTTTTGAGGTAGGCCTCCTTATATAAAAAGAGGAGGGGTGGGGGGATGCAGAAATGTCAGAGCAGACCAGCTGTTTTTTAGTGAGGTTGCCCTCAGCCCGACTCCCCTTACTGTTGTGAAGATGATGCCTGTGTGCACACTCTCTCGTGCATCTGAAACAGAGTCCCAGGCCAGCCTTAGAAATGTGATCTTCCCGAGAGTTAACTTTCTGGACCTATGTCACCTACTATTTTATTTAAATAACTACAGTTAAAAGACATTTTTAGACGTGAACAGTAAAAAAGCCATGCCTCCATGTATTTGTTTACTGGCTGCCCTGCTACATTTTACCAGGTTTGTGCTTTTCAGATCTACTTGTTTTGAATTGTATCTGCCAGATAAAGTGCCATCTTTGCCGTTAACCTACTAGCGTCCTGAAGACTGTCTTGGATTCTTAAGAGCTTTATACATTCGAACTGGCTTTGTAACAGTTGTGTGATTTTCATCATCTTATAATTTATGACTTCCTGCTTTCCATCTTGTTTTTTTTTTTTCAGAAGAAAAAAATCCATTTATTTTAATCACAACCACCTTTGTGGGTATTTCAAATAATTTATGGTGTTCACAATTTTATCTGTGAATGTAGCTTTTAAAAAAAGTCAGGAGGCTGGGAATAGCTCTATAGCAGAATGTTGGCCTAGCATACACAAGACCCTGGGTCCTACCCCAAGCACTGCAAAAAGTAAAAAGTCAGATCTTTGTCTAGCATTTGCCTCTGAATTGTGTCTGGAAATGGCTAGTTTCTCCTTGTTTTGCCATGATCCTTGGGTTCTGGACGGGTCTTTCACTTGTCTGGAGTAAAGGTTTGTGCAGACACTGTTGGGCCCCATCATTATCCCAGGTTGCTGGGCAAATGTGAAGTTTGAACTGACTCCCTTTATAATTTTGTTAGGTTGCTCACAGAATCTCTTTTCCCTTCCATTAATATATTTTCTAAAAATGTACTTTGGCTGGGCAGTGGTGGTGCACACCTTTAATCCCAGCACTTGGGAGGCAGAGGCAGGTGGATCTCTGTGAGTTTGAGACCAGCCTGGTCTACATAGCAAGTTCCAGGACAGCCAGAGTTGTTACACAGAGAAACCCTGTCTTAAAAAAAAAAAAAAAAAAAAAAAAAGTATTTTGCTACTGCTGTCTGTTAAATTTTGTTGTAGGCAAACTCTGTAGGATGTAATGAGGGCACCAGCTTCTCACTCTGAAAACTGGAGGGTAAAAAAGAGTTGTCCTGCTTTTCCTGTACAAATTATAGTTCACAGAAACCAGTTAGGCTCAGTTGGTGAGGGACAGAGTCTGCCCAATAACTGTCTTTGGACTAGTAGAAAATTTAAAAAATTAGAAGGTCACTACTTGCATCCCATCATGAAAATTGATTAGGATAGTGGTCACAAATAGCCAGAAGCCTTAGTTGAAAGGTGGATTCATATCTTAGGCTGGTACCTTTGAGCCCTCTGATCAAGTGTGGCATGGCTAAAAGTGGGACAAGGCAGACATGTGCCTCTTGATGTCTCGAATATGAAGCACACAGTACCTCCTGTGCAGCATTCTTGTCAGAAAAAGAGAGACCAGAGCTCTAAAGCTACTTCCATTTGCCAAAAATACAGGGGATGAAAGATCCAGTTAAATTACAACACAAGGAAGTAAATAGGCAGAGTCAGAATGTGGGACATTTTCTAAAGCTGCTAACCTAGTTTCTGTAGTAAGTCAACCCTGTGGAGGAAAAGGAGGGAGAGAGACTGCGCTAGTTATAAGAGACTTTAAAGAGGGAGGCAAGTATTGTCCCTGTTTGGATCCTGATTCCGTAAACCAACTCTAATGAGTCCTTTTTCTGCAAGGTAAGAAATCTGATAGAGCTGGATATTGGATGAGTGGCCTTAATCTTGGTAGGTGTGACAATGACATTGGGTTATATAAGGAAATATATATTTTCAAAGAGAGAACCAGGAACCCCTGAGTCCTTTGTAAATCTGAGCTAAATTCTTTTTGTCATTTTGAAGAATGCTCCAGTGGTTTTTAGTCTGTAGCACTATTGTTTTCATGGATGAAGCATTGTGGCCTTGAACACATCATCTAATCCAATGGCCTTTCTCCAGGCTCCTGTTGGGCCATGCAGGGATCAACTGAAGACCATAATATCCTTTATAAATGTAACATTGACTGTGCATTGCCTCTTTATCATCGTATGCTTTATTGATTCTACTTTTCCTCTATAATTTTTTAGTTTCAGTTCAGCAATCAAGAAACATGCTAGACTGGACAAGCTAGGCTCTCCTGGCTTTTCTAAAATAGGGAAGCACCAGAGAATTGGAAGTAATGAGTGTAAATCTTAAGCCCACCCCATGGACACTCTTGGAGCTGCTCTTACCATGTTCTGTCTCCGGTTTTGGATTCTCTGTCCCCAGATGTTACAGTTCTGGTGTTTTTCAGTTGCTTCTACTGTACACAAAAGCTGCTGGTTTGGGAAATGGCAATATTGGGGCGGGGGGAGTCTTGAGAACTTTGTTACTTGCTATGAAGCTGTGGACAAGTTATCACCTCTTTATCTTTGCAAAATAGGAATAAGTAATACACCATAAGATTTCCATAAGAATTAAATGTATTAGTACAGATCTAGCATTGAGCTTGGATTTCACCTATTAAAACAGCTTAATAAACTGCAGCTGTTGTTCTTAGTTTAATTCTCAACAAACATTACCTTGGTGACAGCTTAGATTTGTGCCTGTGGACACTGGAGGCTAAGATGCCCCAACCTTGGCACTGGTGGCCTTAGGGATCAGATGACTCTTTGCTGTGGGGGTTGTTGCCTTGTTAATTGTGGGGTATACGGAGCATCCTTGGCCTGCCAGGTGGAGGGAGTTCCCTACTATTAGTGGTGACATGTCTCCAGACATTGCCAGATGTCCCTGGGGTCAGAGTCAGTAGGTTGTTGAGAACCTGTTTGTAGAGGAAGGATGCCACATTGGAAATTAATTTTTATCATTGGTACCCTAAAAATAAAATAGGGGCAAAATTGACTTGCAAGTTGTGTAACTTTTTATTTACATCCTGTCTCTTCCCTATTCAGTCCATCAAATCAATCTATAATATTGGAAAACAATCTCCTAAAGCAGTGGTTCTCAACCTTCCTAATACTGCAACCCTTTATTACAGTCCCTCATCTTGTGGTGACTCCCAATCATAATATTATTTCTTTGCTTCTTTGTAACTGTAATTTTTGCTACTGTTATGAATCATAATGTAAATAGCTGATATGCAGGATATCTGATATGCAACCTCAAAGGGGTCACAACCCAAAGGTTGAGTACCACTGCCCTAAAGATTAATTGATTTCTCTAGTATGTGTGTAGTAAACCCTGTTATTGACCATTTTTAGTGCCCTCAGCAACAGATACCTATGTTCTCTACTAGAAGATCTAATCTGGGCCTGGCAAGATGGCATAGCTGGTAAAGAGCTTGCCATAGAAGCCTATCTACCCCAGTTCAATCCCTGGAACCTACAGTAAAGGAGAGCATTGACTCATAAAAATTGTCCTCTGACCTTCATAGTTGCTGTGGTGCACAGGTCCCTGTACACACATGCGTGTACACACACACTCGAATATATACTACCACCACCACCACTAATGATGATGATGATGATAAGCACAAATCTAAAAGGCCCAATCTGGTCTTAGTTCTTTAACCTGAACAAAAAAAAAATTTTTAGTCAAGCTTTAGTTTCACTACAGTAGTCATAGAACTAGTTACTGTGTATATGTAGTGTATTTGTTCCATCAAGTCCACACCATGAACAGCCCTCTTTCCCTGGCTCTTCGTTTTCCTAGCTGGTCTGTGTATATCTGTTGATGAGACTGACCCTGTGCAAAGCTTTGCCCTGCTTCTTGCCTTATTGTAGGGAGTTGTACTGTCCTATACATTACTAAAGAAAAAATACTTCCCTTTTAAAAATTTTGCTTCTAAAAAAAATTGCTTCTACTCATCC